GGTCCCCTACACATGTTAGTATGGTCCTCTCTATGATATATCTACAGCAGATGTTCCTCTAAATATATCAATTTCAGGCCATATTCCCCTTCTGCAATAGATATATCATTGTTGCCCTTATTTGAACCTAGTGAATTCTGTTTGAACAAACACTGATCCGATGTCACTTATGTGGAACTACCTCTACAATAGTGATATCAGAAGATGCCAGAACACAGGTACACAGAAAATCCAGGGAAGGAACAAACCATTCAGTGGATGGCAACAGGGAGGACTCCAACAGTAGTAGTTATGGTGATTGAAATGACCATTTATGCCAAATAAGTTATTTGAACATAATCTTTAATAAGCATAGATGTGCCCTTAAGTGCATGAAGTGTCCCTTTATAGTGAGAATATTGGTCTGTCTACCCATTGTTTATTAATAGCAGTTAACAAAAATGAATAACCCGTTCCGCCTCAAATGCAATTAATATATGAGAATTTACTTTGTTCTTTCTGAAAAAGCAACTGTTTTATTTTTCATGTTGTCATATCTTTTTGTTATTTCTGCCTCTACAGACACACAGCTGCAAAGGTTTATATGCTCTTCCACAGCTTACATTTTTAGCATTATTATTATTTTTCAGAATTATCTGTGATCAACTCCCAGCTAAAAGCAAGGAACTTAATGTTTAAGGCGTGAGAATACTGTGAATCCTTTCAGCCATAAACGTATCTGCGCGCTCGGAATGTGTATGTATGTTGGATACTTTTTTTTTTTACAGGATCATTTTCTTTCTATAAAGTAAAATACTAAAAAAAAGTTTTATTAAGAATAATAATAATAATAATAATATTACAAAAAAAACAAGGATGATCCAGTTATATTAGATATCTAGTGAATGGTGAAAGGTATACCAAGACCAAAGATAAACAAAAAATAAAATAAATAAAAAGATTAAACAAAATAATATATTGAAAAAAAAAAAAAACAGACAAGATAACCAAGTCCGCAGATATTTGGCTGGTGACACACATGCCACCATTTTGGCTTGGTAGGCTAGTACATTGGGTTTTCACATAAAGAAATCAGATTAAAGTGATGGGGAGGAGATGGACAGATTCTCATTTGAAGGTAACTACAGTCATAAATCAGGAACCCTTACATCCTTTTCAATACCTAGCCCCTCCAATCGGAAAGACCAATAGTAATTAGACATTGTCTTTGACATTAAAACAGTGGATGCAATGATAAAGTACAGCTTGTTAGCTTTGTTTGGGGTCGGTAATTACATCCATAAATAATAAACCATATAGGAATTAAATCCTGTTGAAAGAACTGGTGCTCCCTCTATTTTAGCACAAACTAATAGTTGAATAAAAGTTAGCTATTGGTTGTGATAAATTGAAATAAAGTATGTAAATAGAAACATAGAAACACAGAATGTGACGGCAGATAAGAACCGTTCGGCCCATCTAGTCTGCCCAATTTTCTAAATACTTTCATCAGTCCCTGGCCTTATCTTATAGTTAGGATAGCCTTATGCCTATCCCACTCATGCTTAAACTCCTTTACTGTGTTAACCTCTACCACTTTAGCTGGAAGGCTATTCCATGCATCCACTACTCTCTCTGTAAAGTAATACTTCCTGATATTATTTTTAAACCTTTGTCCCTGTGTTAACTCTTGCAGTGCCGTGCAACTGGAACATGCATGCACATAGCATATACCAATAGATTGTGCACATCCTTTACATGTCCAAATTCTTATACAGACGCCCAGGGCATCATGGTGGGCAATGTCACAGCAACAATGAAGTTCAGCAGAGGTTAGTATGTATTTTATTTACCCTCACTACGTTATTCACCCAGGTACACATTACAATAGCATTTTGCTGGGATGAAGAATCGAGGATCTATCACTTCTCGGAAAGTGACAATTGCTCTCTAATACGCGGTCCATCATTTTAAAGGGTATAGATCTTGTATACAGAGATAGCAATAGCCACACCCCTTTGCCATGTCTGCCTCGCCTCCCACTGAATATCGAGGACATTATCAGTTTGGCCACACATTAAGGTGTTTAACCATGAACAGGTAAACCTATATGGCATTGCTTCATACTAGTCGGTGGTTCTGAAATTGGACACACACACACACTAAAAAATATATATATATATATATATATATATATATATATATGCACATACACACACACGCACACACACACACACACACACACACATACACACACATATATACAGCCCTAGTCACACCTCCTTGCATGTAACCTTCTAAAAAATTCCTTTACAGAGAGATCTAATGTTTAAACTATCTTTATTGCACATTATGTTTAATTTAGAATTTCTTATCTGTTGCTCTGTCAATAGACTGTATGAGCCTCCTGTGTGTGATTAAGGGAACACGATAGTCACCAAAACCACTACAGCTTAATGTAGTGGTTTTGGTGTCTATACCCTGTCCCTGCAAGCTTTTTAATGTAAACATTGCCTTTTCAGACGGCCACTAGAAGTGCTTTTGATCTCAGCACCACAGTGATTAATATCTCCACGCTCTGCATGGAGGTGCCGAACGTTCTCCATAGAGTTGCATTGATTCAATGCATATCTATAATAAGATGCTGATTGGCACAGCCAATTATTGTATTTCTCAATAATTTGGCAAAATCTAAAACAATAGGTATATTTGCTATCTTTGGTTAGTTTATTAAAATATTGTGTTGATATACTATTCACTTTACAACTTGATTTTTTCTACACAGAACTTAATTGGTCCTCGATCTTTAAAAGAATCAATAACTGCAGAAGAGGCCTAGACCTGTATACCAGACACTGTGATTCAATCTTTCTAAACACTTGGCTCAATCAGGATTCATCAGAAAGCTGCTCATTGGGAATATTTAATTCAAATGGAAATGTAACTGTGCTGAATGTGTAACTATGTTATACATTGTATGACCTACATCTGATACATAATGTGCATACACAATAACCAGCACATCCGATACATAATGTATATGAAGGATATACAGTGCAAAGAGCACATAACAAAGAATATAAAACCCATTCATAGCACATCTCCAGCATAACATTGCACTTATACAATAAGCCACAAGTCCATTACTTAACCCCTTCAGGATGGAGTCAATAGTGCACGTTCTGATCAAAGCAAAACGTAAACAAAAACTGGAATTTGCGCAATATGTCTGTTCACCCGTAATTCACCGCTGTCACATTAAGTGCACCCACACTTATTATATATCATTTTGTTCGGGAGAAACAGGGCTTTAAGTTATCATTAACTATTCATATATGGAACATCATTTATTATGAATAAAATTTAAAAAAATGTGAGAAAATAAGATTATTTTTTTAAATTTGTATTTCTGTCTGACATTTTAGCTGTGAATGTCATTTTACTGCAAAATAAATGCCCATATTTGTAATCAGCGATGTCTCACGAGTACAACGGTACCCCCCATTAACAGGTTTTATGGTGTTTTGGAAAGTTACAGGGTCAAATATAGGATATTCCATTTTCAAATTGAAATTTGCCAGATTAGTAATGTTACCTTTGAGACAGTGGGGTAGCCCAGGAATGAGAATTACCCCCATAATGGCATACCATTTGAAAAAGTAGACAACCCAAGGTATTGAAAGTGGGGTATGTTTAGTCTTTTTTAGTAGCCACTTAGCAAATTAAATTCTCTGCACTTTCTCCCTGTGTTGTCAGGCATGTCAATCAAATTTTAATTAATCAAATCACATAATTATGTTAAAAGATTACTTAAATATACACGCAGAATTTTAATAAATATGCATTTATAGGTATGTAATATATGTATTAATATATATATATATATATATATATATATATTTGCGGTTATTCGTATTTTATATATAGATAGATGTATATAGAATTTCATTCTAAGTGTATTTTCTTACATATATATATATATATATATATATATATATATATATATATTAATAACAAAATACAGTTAGAATGAAATTACATATGAATATATAATTTCTTTAAAATTTTGTTTCAATATTTTATTTATTAATTTTATTATTTTATTTATTGTTGTAATTATACGTGTATATATATATATGTGTGTATATGTCTATTATATATATAATATATATACATATTATATATATATGTAACGTCATTCTAAGTGTATTTTAATACTAATATATGTGCTTATATTAATATTAAAATACACTATGTATGACGTTACATATATATATATATATGTATATATATTTCTAAATATTTTTATTTTATTTTATAACATGTTTAATAATATTTTTTTTTACTTTCCCACCAGCAGGGGGACTGTCTGACATTTCAGATCCACTGCCAGCTATAGGTGGCCATGGCCCCCGGGGGCTTCTTTTGCCAGGGGAGGGCTGCCTGGGCTGTGAGGCAGTCCTCCCGAAGCGGAACACCGGGTAGGTAAGTATCCCGGGCGCTCCAGGGCTCAAAGTTCTATACCGCCGCAACGGCTTTAAAGCCCACTTAATGCTGGATGGCATAGAACGCCGTAACGGCATTAAGGGGTTAACACCGAAACAGTGAATAAACAATGTATATCTACAAAGTACTGGATATCAGCAATGCAATGCATATAAACACATAATGAGGAATATATTGTGTTGGAGCAAAAGTCAACCTATGCAAGAAATTATTTATTTATTTATTTATTTATTTATTTTTCCAGAAAGGATACATTGAGATTTCTCTCATTTTCAAGTTTGTCCTTGACCCACAATGTATATAAAGGAGGTTTGGCACATACACCAGATAATGTATAGAAACCTATTGTGCATGTTTTATACCCGTGCATTGAGAAACACATAGAAAGAATAAACAATATACAGAAATGTACATGCAAAACATGAGTTACATAATGTATGTAAGAACAAGGTATATTGTCAGCACATCAGACATCCAGTACAGGGCAAAGTATATAACCAGCACACCACATCCAG